GGAAGGTAAGGACCAAGTTTTCCATCACAAAGGCCAGCTGTAAAATCATTCAATCAGCCGAGACCGAAAAGGGCATTCGGCTAAAACTTATGACTAAAGAACAGGCAGGCAAGGTCAAGCCGGGGTTAACTGGATGGGTAAACACCGGTATCAAAATTCAGGAAGCCCAGTGAGTAAAGTCACATATTGCTAGATTCAAACATTGAACAATCCAGAGCCGAATTGGCTGCCTTTGTGAAGGCTCAAGGCAGTCGTCCAAGTGCCGATCAGAAGCTGGAGATAATGAAACGTCGAGAGAAGCTGTCCAAGCGACTTGAAGAGTTTTCCGAGGCCGGTCAAGGCCATTTTCCCAACTTGGAAATTAATGAAGGAACTATTCATGATCCACCGCTCTCGGAGGATATTGTGGATGACGATGACTGGAGCGATTGTGATGAAGAGGAAACCCCAGCACCGAGCATACCCAGTTTGCCTGATCAGGGATATGGATCGGCCGAACATCAACAAATCCTCTTACCATCCTCATTTCAAGCAGCCCTCCTCCCTACATCACTGGGAGAAGCCCGGTGCGTAGAGATAGAATTGAGAGTGGCCCAGGCAAATAACGCTCTGAAGCGTTTACGGGAAGCCATCGGTTACAAGTCATTCCTTTATCGGAAGAGAATTCGAGCCGAGAAATCGAAAAAAGGTGTAACTCGGGCTTACGATGATGCTGTACAAGGATCGGATCGCGATATGAAAAGTGCTCTCCGGGCATACAACCAAGCTTGATGGGCTCTTAATCAGCTCAATGCTCCTCAGGGCACTCGTGACCGATACAAGCCAATGTAGGCCTGGGTATTTCATAGTGAATTTTCCATAGATACCCAGCACATTTTCTGCAAAATTTCAAATGCAGCCCTGGATATTTCATTGTGATTTTTCAATAGATACCCTGGGCATTTCATTGTGATTTTTCAAATGTATCCCTGGATATTTCATTGCGATGTTTCAATAGATACCCTGGGCATTTCATTGCGATTTTTCAAATGTATCCCTGGGTATTTCATTGCGATTTTTCAAATGTATCCCTGGGTATTTCATTGTGATTTTTCAAATGTATCCCTGGATATTTCATTGCAAAATTTCAATGGATACCTGGCGCATTTCATTGGGATTTTTCAATAGATACCCTGGGTATTTCATTGTGATTTTTCAATAGATACCTGGTGCATTTCATTGCGATGTTTCAATAGATACCCTGGGCATTTCATTGCGATTTTTCAAATGTATCCCTGGGTATTTCATTGCGATTTTTCAAATGTATCCCTGGGTATTTCATTGCGATTTTTCAATAGATACCCTTGGTATTTCATGGCGATTTTTCAAATGTATCCCTGGGTATTTCATTGCGATTTTTCAAATGGAGCCCTGGGCATTTCATTGCAATTTTTCAAATGTATCCCTGGGTATTTCATTGTGATTTTTCAATAGATACCCTGGTATTTCATTGCAAATTTTCAAATGTAGCCCCGGGCATTTCATTGCGATTTTTCAAATGGAGCCCTGGGCATTTCATTGCAATTTTTCAACTGTATCCCACATGTCAGGGTCCATGCAATGGGCTTTCCTGGAGGGTGGTCACATGACCAATTACCAAAAATAGTCAAAAAAACGAAAGTTGTAGCCCTACACTGTAGCTTCCCGAATCTGTTTGAATTATGTTCTGAAGTGCTCCCATTGTGGAGATATGAGGTAAAGGAATTTCAAAAGTGTTGCGTTTCTTTTTTTTTTTTGTGTTTTTCTCTATGAAAACAAAACCAAATAACGTGATTTCAGTATATTCAGAAAGCTAAAAGAAAGGGCTACAATTATTGTATCGTGGGAAAAATGACCAAAAAAGGAAGGTGCATCCCGTACTACTTATAAGAATCAGATATAGACTACCAAGTTTACTGATAGACTACAAAAGAGTCGGACTTAGACTACACAGTTTACTGATACACTATAAAAGACTACAAAAGTCGAAATTAGACTACAAAGTTTACTAATACACTAAAAAAGACTACAAAAGTCGAACTTAGACTACAAAAGCGTGGACTTAGACTACATAGTTAGGGTTAGAGTCAAAAGGTTATCTTGACTACAAAGTTTGTAGTGTGCCCTTTTTCATTAAAAAAGTTTGTAGTGACCGCTTTTTGAGACTACAAAAGTTGTAGTGTTGCGCTTTTTCATTAGAAAAGTTTGTAGTGTCCGCTTTTTGAGACTACAAAAGTTTGTAGTGTGCACTTTTTTATTAGAAGAGTTTGTAGTGTCTGCTTTTTCATTTAAAAAAGTTTGTAGTTGACATGTAGTTTATGGTGTCCTTGGCCCTATCTATGTTATGGGGATGAGGTTGAAGGATTGCCATCATATTGCCAGTGCTGCAGCATTAGTATTTGACATCATGCACAAGTTGTCTTTCACATTAGGAAAGGCCATTCTATGTCTTTCATATTGATACCTACTGTCCTATCTCAAGACATAATTGTAAGCTCATATGGGGATATGGCTGAAGGATTGACATGACTTTACATATTGCTATTGCCACATCATCAGTTCCTCACATCATGCCCAAGTTGGCTTTCAAGCTAGAGAAGGCTATTCATGTTGATATCTACTCAATACATGGTCAACTTACAACATGACCTGTCTTCAAGACACCTCAAAGGATGAATCAGCCCATCATCCTACAGCCCTCAAAGACCTGTATCAAAGTTGACTATGTTTGGGACAGGCCAGTAGTTATCAATGTGAAAGCAGACAGCATGAAATGCAAACTTGGTCATGATGTCAAAAACTGGTCATGTCATGTCAATGAGCTTACAATTATGTCTTCAGATAGGACAGTAGGTATCAATATGAAAGACATGGAATGGCCTTTCCTAATGTGAAAGACAACTTGTGCATGATGTCAAATACTAATGCTGCAGCACTGGCAATATGATGGCAATCCTTCAACCTCATCCCCATAACATAGATAGGGCCAAGGACACCATAAACTACATGTCAACTACAAACTTTTTTAAATGAAAAAGCAGACACTACAAACTCTTCTAATAAAAAAGTGCACACTACAAACTTTTGTAGTCTCAAAAAGCGGACACTACAAACTTTTCTAATGAAAAAGCGCAACACTACAAACTTTTCTAATGAAAAAGCGCAACACTACAACTTTTGTAGTCTCAAAAAGCGGTCACTACAAACTTTTTTAATGAAAAAGGGCACACTACAAACTTTGTAGTCAAGATAACCTTTTGACTCTAACCCTAACTATGTAGTCTAAGTCCACGCTTTTGTAGTCTAAGTTCGACTTTTGTAGTCTTTTTTAGTGTATTAGTAAACTTTGTAGTCTAATTTCGACTTTTGTAGTCTTTTATAGTGTATCAGTAAACTGTGTAGTCTAAGTCCGACTCTTTTGTAGTCTATCAGTAAACTTAGTAGTCTATATCTGATTCTTATAAGTAGTACGGGATGCACCTTCCTTTTTTGGTCATTTTTCCCACGATACAATAATTGTAGCCCTTTCTTTTAGCTTTCTGAATATACTGAAATCACGTTATTTGGTTTTGTTTTCATAGAGAAAAACACAAAAAAAAAAAAGAAACGCAATGCTTTTGAAATTCCTTTACCTCATATCTCCACAATGGGAGCACTTCAGAACATAATTCAAACAGATTCGGGAAGCTACAGTGTAGGGCTACAACTTTCGTTTTTTGACCATTTTTGGTAATTGGTCATGTGACCACCATCCAGGGAAGCCCATTGCATGGACCCTGACATGTGGGATACATTTGAAAAATTGCAATGAAATGCCCAGGGCTCCATTTGAAAAATCGCAATGAAATGCCCAGGGCTCCATTTGAAAAATCGCAATGAAATGCCCAAGGCTACATTTGAAATTTTGCAATGAAATACCCAGGAATACATTTGAAAAATCGCAATGAAATACCAAGGGATACATTTGAAAAATCGCAATGAAATACCCAGGGATACATTTGAAAAATCACAATGAAATGCCCAGGGTATTTATTGAAAAATCGCAATGAAATGCACCAGGTATCCATTGAAATTTTGCAATGAAATATCCAGGGATACATTTGAAAAATCGCAATGAAATACCCAGGGATACATTTGAAAAATCGCAATGAAATGCCCAGAGTATTTATCGAAAAATCCCAATGAAATGCGCCAGGTATCCATTGAAATTTTGCAATGAAATATCCAGGGATACATTTGAAAAATCGCAATGAAATACCCAGGGATACATTTGAAAAATCGCAATGAAATACCCAGGGATACATTTGAAAAATCGCAATGAAATACCCAGGGTATTTATTGAAAAATCCCAATGAAATGCGCCAGGTATCCATTGAAATTTTGCAATGAAATATCCAGGGATACATTTGAAAAATCGCAATGAAATACCCAGGGATACATTTGAAAAATCGCAATGAAATGCCCAGGGTATTTATTGAAAAATCCCAATGAAATGCGCCAGGTATCCATTGAAATTTTGCAATGAAATACCCAGGGATACATTTGAAAAATCGCAATGAAATGCCCAGGGTATTTATTGAAAAATCGCAATGAAATGCACCAGGTATCCATTGACATTTTGCAATGAAATATCCAGGGATACATTTGAAAAATCACAATGAAATGCCCAGGGTATCTATTGAAAAATCACAATGAAATATCCAGGGCTGCATTTGAAATTTTGCAGAAAATGCACTGGGTATCTATGGAAAATTCACTATGAAATACCCAGGCCTACATTTGAAATGCCTTTCAAAAAATCCTAAGCATTATAGATATGGCCTCTAGGCTTAAGTCTAAGTTATAGAAATGACTCTCTAGGCTTAAGTCTAGGTTATAGATAAAAGTGGTAGCCACCAGTCAAAGATACAAGGGCACTAACTACGGTATACGATGGCAACGCCCGGGGTCAAAGAAATATTGCTCTGCCATGGTTCTGGAATATGGCTGTGGCTGATGATTCGTCGGGTTCAACATACATGGAACAAGGTCAGATCCAGTCACTTTTATTACTCTACATGAATTGAAACCAGACAAATCAAAGTATATCGGGTGAATTGGCTCAGAGCAAAAGCTCAATATGACCGGTGGTCAGAAGAGCATACCTTGATCCCAAACGAAATGAACTGGACCCGCCTCTATTTCATCAACAAAGCAAGGGAGTGGGCTGGGCTGAGGGACTTGGTGCCAGACAAGCTGGGACATGTATGCTTTGCCGAGGGGCAAATCAGTATGTGGAAAGAACTGGCCTTCCAGGCCACCAAAGAATTTATAAATGCCGGGGTCATGTGCGAGGCCATTGCATTACCTAATCCTAGTTGAATCAAACTATTCTTTCTCATTGTCCACCATGTATGCAAAAGAACACCTGTCATTTGACCCCCACCGAGCAGAGCAATGGGTTGACGAGGTGCTGAAGATACGGCCTCCAGCTTTTACCAGAGATTCTTCTGTAGTGGCTAATCTCCTCTGGAAGGACGAACAAGAGTTCCAGGAGGTACTCTGCTACTGGTCCTCTCGATTCAGAGCCATTTTGACATCAAAGCTCGAAAACCCCATTGACCCCGAGTTCGAGAATTGTTGGTTGGAGTACATGTCAGCCGAACAGGTGAGCTTTATTTTGCCGCGCCCGGCTAAACTCATTCCTTTGGTTAGGGTTTCATTATAGCGACTCTCGGCATGGCATGCGCCTATGGGCATAAAGTAAAACTTTGCCCCAGATTTTTTCTCTTTGAGCTCACCTTCCTGCCAGTTTATCGTCCCTCCCTTTTTAAAGTCCTGTCTCCAGGGTAACCCACTGCACCCTCAGGAAGCCTTCATGGATGACCGTATCCGGCCTGCATACGAGTTTGCGTGGTGGAATACTCGCATCACCTTTCCACCAGGGGGCGTCGACCAACTTCTGAAAAGGTCATACAATTGGTTCAGATGGATGGCAAAGGGTGGTTTGCCAATCAAGTACCCGGACACTGACACCTCCACGCTGACACCGGCTGAAGTTCAGCACATCAAGACCCAGGTGGAGAATGCTCGGGATCGTCTCCTTGAACGTATCAAGCGTGCTGAGGCCGAGGAAGAGTGGGTCACCAATGAGATTTCGGTTTGGGAGGAAATTGTACAGCAGTCTGCTCTTATTGACCTAATGAGGTATCACAAGAACCGGTTTTCAGCACATAGAAACCCAGGTGGAGAAAGCCCGGGATCGGGTTCGTCAAGCCCCCCGTCTCCTTGAACATATTGGTGCTGAGGCCGAGCAAGTTTGGGTCGGATTTCTAATTCATTATTTATTAGTTACCAGACAAATTGTATATCAAGTCTGCCATGGTCAACTACTGAGGCCTCTTCACCCCAAGCCTTTCCCCAACCTTTTTGTGCCAAAAGTGAGCTAAACAGGCCCGGTCACCCAGCACAGGACAAACACCATGTTGTAAAACATTGCCAGCCAAGGCAACAACCGTCCCAGGGTCATAAACAAGGCTAAACCCGAGCCCGGCTAAGTGACACCGGCCTCCTGTGTAGTTTCCGATGGTGAGCAACAAGTCAAAAGACTCCCTATACCCCTTTAGATCTCAGTGATCGATCGTCTCTCGGTTCAGGATGACTGAAAGACCAGTGAAGGGAGTGGCCCAAACGCGAAGAGCAATATTGATAGGATCGTCCAATGCCTCGGCATGATTGGCAAGCTTCTCGAAGGTGGCTAAACCAGACTCAAAAAGATCGGGTTGTATGACGGCATAGATTGCGCCAACAATTGCATTGGCCAATAGGACATTCTGGAGGTAGGTTGAATTGGCAGGCTCCTGAATATCAGCTGACACATGCAGTGGATCCTCGGGACCTTCATGTCCTTGAGAAAACCAGCTGGGTGATAAATTTACAATCCCAGTGACCCCTTCATTCTCGGGGTGGTGATCCCGCCAAGTCCCATTACTTCTCTTTTTGGGGCTCAAAGAACCTGTGTGATCCCAAATAAATGTCTAGTAAAGTGAGGAAAGTCTAAGGGTGTAATGAAGTGAAAGTAATTACCCGAAGCTGTTCTGAGAACATTTCAGGAAAGTACCAAAGTAAAATGTGACCCTGCCGGTCGGTTATATGGCATGGTTGATCGAGGTAGGGGATATCGGACCCGGCTGTTTTGTAGATCGGTGGGAATCGTGCCAAGAGTTTCTTCTCCAACTCCTCATTGCTTCCACTCTGTCTCGGTGACAAGTCCGCAGCATAGTCCCGGACGTCCCAAGTAGTCGTATCTGTCCAAAACTTAGTGAAGATCGGCCGGCTAGAAGTGAGACATACATGAAGATTTGAATGCTTCTTCAAGCATGTTAATTACCCTTTCAACAGATGCTTGGGCCTCCGGCTCCAACCATGGTGGTGGAGCAGGACGAGGAACGCTTGGGCTATGTAAAGACCGCAACCGGCCTCTGAAGTATCAAGCTAGATCCCTTGTATATTGAAAGAAATCGGGGGCAGTCATGAACAAAAAAAAGGATTTTTGACACTTTTAACTGGCAAAACATGAGGCTCGGGCATGGATTTATTTATTACGTAGAACAGGGACGTCTGTCAACATGTCAGGGTCATAACTGCCATTAGGATAGGATCGTGGTCTTTCCTGTCTGGTTGCACCCGGCCTTTCAGATCAGTTCTGCTCATCCGGGCTTTCAAACAAGACGACATGAATTTTTTTTTTAAGTAAAAAGATACAGGTGGTAATGGTATGACATATTAAGAGACCCATGTTACGCCACATGCCCTTTCATAATAGGTGAAATGGGGGTTTGGATAGAGTAAAAAGGACGTACGGTAAGGTAACCCTCTCGCCGTCGTCATCGATGATGGTCAAGAGTATCGTCCCCTAATCACCATGTTAGTGGGAAAAAGGAAGTACAAAGGGGATTGCTCACGTCTGGCAACCTGCCGGTGGAGTCTACGGTTGCAAACATGAGGCCACCGCTACACATATTATACCAGACTCGGGTTCCTTTCTGACGAATCATCAGCTGGTTACGACCAATGGAGATGTACAGAACCTACGGGGTAGGGGTTGGGTGGAGGGATACCCAACAGACTCCAGATTGTCATGGGGGTGAAGTTATTCATGTCGCAGATGAGGGGGGTGAAGATGGGTCCTTGAAATGTGAGAGGGTTTTTAAAGGGGGAAACACGGATGTTTTCAGGTTAAATTACAACCCTCGATGCAACCCTATATCAGAAGCATAAATGATGGCAGCACAGGCCTCGAGGCCAAATTGCAAAAAAGAGTTGAAAGAGTCATAAACATAAGCATGGCCGGGGATTGAACCCGGAAGCTGGGGATTGAACCCGGAAGCCAACTACCATTAGACCATGCTGGCTTCCAAAGATTGTTGGTAAATCTGGGATAAGGGGTGAATTCTTGATTTCGTACTCCAATTGGTCTCATGTCCGGGCCCAGCTTGAACTGTAGTTTAAATGCCGAACAAGTCAGTGCTGAGTTTATAGGACCGGGTTCAATCGCACCCGAACAAGTATTCGACATGGTCGTCAGCTAAGTTACATTTTTTTGCCGGACTTGGCCAGGCACCGGGTTGTCTTATACACCGGGTTCACCCCCTGAACAAGTCACTGCACAGAATTTGTCCTTTTAACTGCTGCTATTAGAGTGACATGGTCGGCAGGTAAAAGATACTGACCGACATTGTCTTCAACGTTGGCTTGGCCTAGTAGTTAAGCTGGGAGGTGTACATAGTATATGTATGTATGCCCTGGGTTCAAATCCCGACGCAAAGCACATGCTGAGTCAAACCGTTACTGCAATCTTTACATCACAGAGGCCGATTGTGTTCAAACATTGGAGCATTGGATTCTTGCTATGGGCAACGAGCCCCCGTATCCAGTTGAGTCACAATTTGGATATGACAAGTCATCACCACCAACATCACCCACTCAAACCCTGCGACAAGATGCTGTTGATATGATGGTGCTACAGGGTCAAGCTACAGGGCAGTTAGTAGGAATCACCCAGCTACACTGAGAGCCCCGACAATACAAACAGGCCATAGTTGATGGGGCCTGCTGATGGGCCGATGAGGGCCAATAACCCTGTGTTGATGAATTGGCTGATGTGATCCCAGTATCAAGGTGAAGAAGGGTCGGCCAGCTACATAGATTTATCATAAACCGATCATTAGGAGGAAGCTGTGCTGGGAAGTCAAGTCCCTGTATTTGTGTATCGGCTGATAGCTAACCAATGCAAGGTCGGCTGACAGTTTTTTGGCTGATGAAAGATAGCTAAGCTATGCAAGGCCGGCTGACAGTTTTAAACATTGCTGGGTAGGTGATCGGCGGAGGGGGCAGCTAAGCCATGCAAGATTGGCTGACAGTTCTGAACATTGCTGGGTAGGTGATCGGCTGAGGGGGCAGCTAAGCCATGCAAGGTCGGCTGACAGTTTGAACAATGCTGGGTAGGTGATCGGCCGAGGGCCATCACTTCTGATTAGCAGCTAGGCTATGCAAGGTCAGCTGATATTTCGACCGTGGCCTGGGTTGGTGGTCGGCTGAGGGCCCTCAACTCTGGTTACCAGGGTCAGCTGGTCAGATGTAGATATCACAGAGTCGGCTGTGGACAAAAATGTATGAACATGGTCAGCCGAGGCTTCACTGAGGCCGGCTTCTCAGTTGGGCCTTTAAGTTAGCAGCCAAGCAGAGGCAGACCGGGCAGAACTTACCTCCATAGTTCAAATTTTCAACTTGATACATAGTAAATATAAAAAACAAGAGCTGCGATCGCTGCAAGTGACTTCTGGGATTCGAACCCAGGGCATACATACATGACGTACACCTCCCAGCGTAACCACTAAGCCAAGCCAACGTTGGAAGACAATGTCGGCCAGTATCTTTTACCTGCCTGCAATTTGAACCCGGGCGTCCAAGCTCGGCACTTGGTAAGTCACCGTTCTCGGCATACGACAACACATTGGTGAAGTACTTTGGCTGGTGCCGAGGCCAGGTGGAAAATAACCGAGCAGACAAGTGAATTAAATTGGCAAAAGTGCCCAGGCTGCGTCTCAGGTAATAGAGCCGATTTAATATTAAATTGGTGAAGTACTTTGGCTGGTGCCGAGGCTGGGTGAAAAATAACCGAGCAGACAAGTGAATTAAATTGGTAAAAGTGCCCGGGCTGCGTCTCAGGTAATAGAGCCAATTTAATAGTAAATTGTTGAAGTACTTTAGCTGGTGCCGAGGCCGGGTTGAAAATAACCGAGCAGACAAGTGAATTAAATTGGTAAAAGTGCCCGGGCTGCATCTCAGGTAATAGAGCCAATTTAATAGTAAATTGTTGAAGTACTTTAGCTGGTGCCGAGGCCGGGTGGAAAATAACCAAGCAGACAAGTGAATTAAATTGGTAAAAGTGCCCGGGCTGCATCTCAGGTAATAGAGCCAATTTAATAGTAAATTGTTGAAGTACTTTAGCTGGTGCCGAGGCCGGGTGGAAAATAACCGAGCAGACAAGTGAATTAAATTGGTAAAAGTGCCCGGGCTGCATCTCAGGTAATAGAGCCAATTTAATAGTAAATTGTTGAAGTACTTTAGCTGGTGCCGAGGCCGGGTGGAAAATAACCAAGCAGACAAGTGAATTAAATTGGTAAAAGTGCCCGGGCTGCATCTCAGGTAATAGAGCCAATTTAATAGTAAATTGTTGAAGTACTTTAGCTGGTGCCGAGGCCGGGTTGAAAATAACCAAGCAGACAAGTGAATTAAATTGGTAAAAGTGCCCGGGCTGCATCTCAGGTAATAGAGCCAATTTAATAGTAAATTGTTGAAGTACTTTAGCTGGTGCCGAGGCCGGGTGCAAAATAACCGAGCAGACAAGTGAATTAAATTGGTAGAAATGCCCGGGCTGCACATTGGATAATAGAACCAATTTGATATTCAATTGGTGAAGTCCTTCAGCTAATGCCATGTCCGGCTGCAAAGTTGCAAGTGAATGGATTCTCCCGCCATCCCACCATCCCACCATCCTATCATCCCGCCATCCCGCCATCCTACCATCCCACCATCCCGCCATCCCGCCATCCCGCCATCCCGCCATCCCGCCATCCCATCATCCTACCATCCTTCCATCCTTCCATCCTTCCATCCTGCCCTCCTGTCATCAGCATTATATCTTGACCATTACTGGGCCACTTCTCTCCAAAAACCCTGCTAATTATATCTTGATGTAGTCTATGACATACTCAAAACAAGAACATATAGTAGTGTAGTTGACATGCATCTCCCTCAATGTTCCCCATGGTATGTATACCTTTACTGTAGTCTCCCCAAAGCAGAAAGAATACAGTGTATATTATATATGCTTAATTTGTGGTAGCTCAGAATAGCCATTTGGGGTTCTGAGTATCTGTATTGCACAAAATGCCCAGAAGACATATAAATCCCATGGGAGTTCCAGAGGAATATGTTCAATTATTATTTGCAAGACATGAAGATATAAGGTTCTAATTGGAGCAACTTACCTGGTAAATGGTGCATGGAGAGGAGGGAGGAATACATTGTAAAATACTATACTCATGACTGGTGGGCAGAATGGGGGCGGGATTACACCTATTGGAGAAACTAGTGCCTGATTTAGTAATTGTCGGTCAACAATGATGGCATTGAGAGGGGGCACCAGGCGGATGGTGTGAAAGTTATAACTAACTTGTCTCTTTGGCGTTGGTGTATGAATGGCTCCGAGCTCGGGGAACAACTCTCATGAGTTGTGTTATCTTGTCTGCTTGGTAATATTACACCCAGACTGAAATGATACAGATGCAACCCAGGCATGTTCAGTGATATACTTCACTTGTAGGCTCGGTAGTGGTCCACTTGAACAAGGCATGGTTGCAGTACTTCAGGGCATTTTTACCAATTGAATCCACTCAGTTGTGGCTTTGCAGCCGGGCACGGGGGTGGCTGAAGGACTTTAATATTTAATTACTAGCATTACCCGGGGTGAGGCCTGGGCATTTTTGCTAATCTGGTTCACTTGTCTGCTTGGTGATTATGCATCTGGACATGGCAGCAGCTGAGATACTTGGACAGTTTAATATGAAATCGGTTCTGTCATCCAAGATGCAGCCCGGGCATTTTTACCGATTTAATGCACTTGTCTGCTCCATGATTTTGCACCTGGACCAACTAAGGTAATTCAACAATTTAATATGAAATTACCAGCATCACCTGACATGCAGCCCAAGTGTTTTTACCAATTTGGTTTATTTGTCTGCTCTGTGATCTCGCATCTGGACATGGCACCAGTTAAAGTACTTCACCAATTTAATATTAAATCGGCTCTATTACCCGAGACGCCAGCCCAGGCATTGTTACCGATTTAATTCACTTGTCTGCGTGGTTATTTTCCACCCGGCCTCAGCACCAGCCAATGTACTTCACCAATTTAATATTAAATTGGCTCTATTATCCAAGACGTAGCCCGGACACTTTTGCTGATTTAATTCACTTGTCTGCTCGGTTGTTTTCCACCCAGCCAAAGTACTTATCAATTTAATTCACTTGCCTGCTCGGTTATTTTTCACCCGGCCTTGGCACCAGCCAAAGTACTTCAACAATTTAATATTAAATCGGCTCTATTACCCGAGACGCCAGCCCAGGCACTTTTACCGATTTAATTCACTTGTCTGCTCGGTTATTTTTCACCCGGCCTCGGCACCAGCCAAAGTACTTCACCAATTTAATATCAAATCAGCTCTATTATCCAAGATGCAGCCCAGGCACTTTTACCGATTTAATTCATTTGTCTGCTCGGTTATTTTCCACCCAGCCTTGGCACCAGCCAAAGTACTTCACCAATTTAATATCAAATCAGCTCTATTATCCAAGATGCAGCCCAGGCACTTTTACTGATTTAATTCACTTGTCTGCTCGGTTATTTTTCAACCGGCCTCGGCACCAGCCAAAGTACTTCACCAATTTAATATTAAATCGGCTCTATTATCCGAGACTCAGCCCGGGCACTTTTGCCGATTTAATTCACTTATCTGCTCGGTTATTTTCCACTCGGCCTTGGCACCAGCCAAAGTACTTCACCAATTTAATATTAAATCAGCTCTATTATCCAAGATGCAGCCCAGGCACTTTTACTGATTTAATTCACTTGTCTGCTCGGTTATTTTCCACCCGGCCTCGGCACCAGCCAAAGTACTTCACCAATTTAATATCAAATCGGCTCTATTATCCAAGACGCAGCCCGGGCACTTTTACCGATTTAATTCACTTGTCTGCTCGGTTATTTTTCACCCGGCCTCGGCACCAGCCAAAGTACTTCACCAATTTAATATCAAATCAGCTCTATTATCCGAGATGCAGCCCAGGCACTTTTACCGATTTAATTCACTTGTCTGCTCGGTTATTTTTCACCCGGCCTTGGCACCAGCCAAAGTACTTCACCAATTTAATATTAAATCGGCTCTATTACCCAAGATGCATCCCAGGCACTTTTACTGATTTAATTCACTTGTCTGCTCGGTTATTTTTCACCTGGCCTCGGCACCAGCCAAAGTACTTCACCAATTTAATATTAAATCGGCTCTATTACCCAAGACGTAGCCTGGGCACTTTTACTGATTTAATTCACTTGTCTGCTCAGTTATTTTTCACCTGGCCTTGGCACCAGCCAAAGTACTTCAACAATTTAATAGTAAATCGGCTCTATTATCCGAGACTCAGCCCGGGCACTTTTGCCGATTTAATTCACTTATCTGCTCGGTTATTTTCCACTCGGCCTTGGCACCAGCCAAAGTACTTCACCAATTTAATATTGGATCGGCTCTATTATCCGAGACATAACCTGGGCACTTTTACTGATTTAATTCACTTGTCTGCTCGGTTATTTTCCACCCAGCCTCGGCACAAGCCAAAGTACTTCAACAATTTAATATTAAACATGTTCTATTATGCGAGATGCAGCCTGGGCAATGTTATTGATTTAATTCACTTGTCTGCTCGGTTGTTTTCCCAGCCCTTTGAAAGTACTTCAACAATTTAATATCACCCGATGTGCAGCCCAGGCATTTTTACCAATTTCATTCACTTGTCTGCTCAATTATTTTGCATCCGGACATGGCACTAGCCAACGTACTTCAACAGTTTGGGATTTAAATGCCTGCATCACCCGATGTGCACCTTTACTGATGTAATTCATGTCTGCTTGGTGTAATTTCACCTGGACATGGTGCCAGCTCACACATCCTTTCCCTGAAAAATGCACTGGCCCAGACACACTGATTTAATATGGAATCGGCTCAATCACTCAAGGTGAAACCTGGGTATTTGTACTATTTCCCACTTGTCGGCTCCATTATTTTGCATCTGAACATGTTTGATTGGCTGTTTCCATGCATTTATACAGATTCAATGACCTTGTCTGCTCAGTAACTTTGCACCAGAATACAGGACCAGCTAATGTACTCACTGGCCTGATGCAAACATAAAACCAGAGGGTGATTTTGAATGCAGGACATGGCAAAGAACACTGGGGGGTTGGTACAACATATGAACAAGTAAACTTAGTTAGGCCATGTGTTAGCCAGGCTGGCTATCATCACGGGACAGATGGCAACATAAATTGTTTAATTGGAGACAAGCCAAAGAATGGTAGGGAGTGTGGTGCCGACTGGGCCAGGCCATATCCAGGCTGGAGATGGCAACAGATGGGGGCTGGCCTCATCTCTGCTCGGGGCTCACAATGACATTCATGACCTCGGGTATGTAAACTGACTTTGCCAAGCCAGGGTGCGGCAAGTGGGCTGATCCATATTGTGAGGAATCAAAAGCTGTTCAGCTGACCCACAATCCAAGGCAATTTCAGCAGGGTCAATTCATCATTAGGCTGGTCGGCCGGCACACAGAACCACTCCTCAAGAAGATATGGGTGGCCAAGCCAGCTTTGATGGGGTCAACATATACATCGGCTCATCAGCAGGCACCATCAACCATGGCCTGTTTGTATGGTCAGGGGGCTCAGTGTTGTTGGGGTAAGGTCACTAATACTTGTGCAAGCTAAGTCTGAGAGTGATGGAGATGGGGTTGATGATGATGATGAGGTCTCTCTCGAGGAGCAGATCTGGAGGACTATAGCAGCTGGTGCACCATTGACTGTGAGAGACGTAGAATGGTAGAAAGGGGTGTAGTCTGTTTAAATATTTGTGTTTCAAATCAAAGCTCTTGTGAATACTTTTCCGATTTTAACTCCTCTCATCCTCATTACAATCAGCTCAAACTTCAAACATGGCCGAGAACTCAGGTATTGATATTCATGCCAGCAACTCTTCAACAAACTTACAGAGATGTTGCAGTCTTTGAGAAGGATGTTACAACAGGGAAATATTGATGCATCTTGTGTACTGCATATCACAGAATATCAGAGAAGTGGATTGGCGCGAAATCACAGAATGGTCACCTCACAGCTCAACATCATCAGAAGGCTGTGGATGCTAATGACCTCAACTTATCCAATGCTGTGGCTGTTGAAACACGTAATAGCGACACAGTGGCAGCTTTGGCAATGCATTATGCAACTTTACCTTCGCTAGACTTGCTGACACCACATCCATTGGAAAACAACCAAGGGAACGAAGATGTGTATCACAAGCTGCTGAGCACCCTCACTGATGATGCTAGTGTGGAATTCTCAGCAGGCACGTATGATGTCCCCAACGTAGGGTTGCTGAAACTTCAGCAGCAGTTGACGGAGTTTGGTCTATGGGATGAAGAGCTTCTAGCTCGAGAATTAGGGTTTGGGGTCACTGAAAAGCCACCCAAACTCATTCGTTCAGATGAGGACGAGACTTTGACCAATGTCATGCAGGAAATGAGTACGTCATTCCAACAGTTATGTCTTTAAGATTTTTTTGATTGATACACCACATGGAGATGTCAATGGAGAATTCAGTGCTGAAAAGCTTCTTGGGATGGATGACAACACCTCTTCTGCAGATGTGGAAGACCCAGAACCAACCAGCAAGTGGTTCCCATATCCAACTAAGATGGTACACTTGAAATTTTTATCCTGTCAGTTTCCTTTGTGACATTTTTACCAGATGTTTATTCTCGATACAATCGACAACTTACCTTGCTTAAGAATCTCAGACTCTTTAATGAAAATAATTCTATGGGGTATGAAGGAGTGTGGGGCTAGCAATGTCCTGTCCTTCAGTCTCCTTCGCAAATCACAGGAGAAACTGAGGAAGCATACTTCCGTCGCCACGAAGATGTACAAATCTATTCTTGGCAATATCTTCTGGATGAACAGTCCTGTCGACATTATTGCAAAGGATTTTTCAAACCCACTGGTGCGGCCACACTTACATCTTTATCCTGAGGAGCCACCTGATGGCAAGATAACCAAGGTCTGGCATTGTGAGAAGTGGCATAAAGGCATTCCCCCAGAATATCTCACACCAATGTATGATGCAGGATCAAAGCATTTTTACGTTGATGAATTTTGCAGAACACAGGACAGTGACCTTGTTGTTCCCAAACGATGGGTTATGCGGGAGGGCAGCCTCTCTGCCGATGTCTTTCACACCAGATTCGAGAACATTTGTATCTAATTTTTCTGATATTGGGTCACCAACTAATCTTTAATTTACCCTAGGATAAATTGGTTATCATCGACTCACATGTTGAGAAGATCCAAGCAAGTGACTTGATTGACAACCTCCCTGATCTTGTCAACCTTGCCCTCAACCTATCATGCGAACAAGAACAACACATGCAGTTGATGCCAAACCCTCTCTGAGAACTTGCTAGAGGAGATCCACTCTATACCATTTTGATTGACAAGTGGCACAACGATGTGTCTGGGAACATATCCAAATCCTACAACCTCCACTATAACACCTACATTGCAGTTCGTAACCCCCCTCGCAAACTCTTGCAGCAGGAGTTCAATGTCCACTTTGTGTGCTCATCACCGAATGCGGAACCATCAGAGCAAGCAGCTGCAGTAAAGGAGGCAAACAAGTCAGTATTTAATTATTCACTGGAGTAAACATGGTTAATATAAGATATCCATTGCAGAGCAACTCACCTTAACCCAGTTCAAACATATGATGCAATGACTAGGAGCACCTGTCGTTTTCAAGTTCTACACCACACTGGCCCCTCTGATAATCCTATGCAATCTGAAGAATGTGTACACATTGGAGCAAAGGGTAATTTTAACTGCCGGATCTGTCATGTGGGGGGTACAACAGCACAAAAGGAGAGTAATGATGGATACCATGCTTTGTTTTACTATGTCTTTCTTTGTTCATGTCATCAAGCAAGAATATGACCCAATCTTTTCAGCCTGGAACACCCCGAACAGCAAGGGAATCTGCTATCACACTTGACGAACAACTTCGGCTTGCAAGCCTTGGTGTTGCCACTCGCGTGAGTGAACATCAGACTTCAACAGGCATTAAGGATAAATTGGCACAACACACCATTGAACACTTGTTAAAGTGGGCACAAGAACTTCGGAATGAGTTCCCGAACAAAACAAGGGAGGAGATTTCTAATCGGCTGATGATGTGGGTGGGAGAGCGGAAAGGAGAGCTCTTGAACCCATCAATCTCGACACCTGGTATTGTGATTACCTTTGCTTTGCAGTCTACATAGCCTTACCCTTGCTCGACCCAGGATATGACCCTCATCTGGATACACCAATAGAACTCTTGCACACCATTTTATTGGGCATCATCAAATATGTCTGGTATTCAACTCACTCAACATGGAAAGATAACCAGAAACTTCTCTTTTCCCTTAGATTGCAGGCTACAAACATCTCAGGTTTGACTATTCCACCAATTCGGGCCAGTCACATCATGGACTATGCAAATTCCTTGATTGGACGCCAGTTCAAAACTGTTGTTCAAACTCTGGTGTTTCATGTGCATGACCTTGTTTCTCTGCTTCAGTACGACCTGATCAAGGCAGTTGGGGAACTGACTGCACTTCTTTGGGTGGTTCAATTGGGGACATCAAGCAGTATGGGGTATGTGATCAGACATTATTGTTAAAGCTCAAGTTTTCATTATCACTCCAGGAGGACCTTGATATTTGTGTGGCCAACATTCTGGATCTCTTTGTGCTGAATGTCTCTTCAAAAATTACAACGAAAATCAAATTCCATCTTCTGGCTCATGCAAGAGCGCATGTGATTCGCTTTGGACCTCTCATTGGATCATCTACTGAAATTATGGAGTGCTTCAACTCCATTTTCCGAGCATGCTCTATCCTCTCAAACCATCAAGCTCCAAGCCGTGACATTGCAATTCAGCTAGCAGGTTTAGAGAGTGCAAAACAATGGCTGACAGGTGGATGGTGGCAACATGGAAATGGGACATGGGTACGTGCAAGCGGACAGGTGCAGGCTTACCTCTTAAGCCATTTGATCATCAAGAATCACTTGGGTTGGGCAGACCATCACCCCATCACTCCTGGTATGAGCACTCTGTTCCGTTTTTACCTGCATTCATCTCTCTGATGTAAAATTTGAGGTGCCACCAAGGCTGTGCCTGCTGTCAAGTGTCGGAAAGTCGAATGGTCCAAGATGTTTGCCTTTCGAGCTGCAAACAGACCAATACATCATCCTACTTCACTTTGGACTCTCTGTGCCAGTATCTCGGCTCGTTCTGGTGATGAATGCCCAAATGGATCTTGGGTTTTTGCACACAATGGCATGGTGAAGCTACATATCTGACTTATTGTTCTGATATTCCATGAGGTGCTTATGAGTTTTCAGGCAACCGCAGTCGGAAGAATCATTGAGATTTTGACAAATCAAGATCATGGAGCCTTGACAGTCCTACAAACATTTCAAGTGGGTATGACACAACACCCAACATACGGGATGCCCACCTTAACTCAACGTTTTGGAGAGGAAGAATTCACAACGATAGCACTGGAGGTATAAGGAAGTTTTTTTCTCTTGAATTAAGTGCTGAAAGTCTTTTTTGAAAAGGATGTTTTGTTTGCTTTCAATGTACAACATGACTGCAAGAACGAACAATGTGCTACTACAGGTAAACATATGCAGTTACAGGAACGGCAAGAGTCTGGGGCGGAAATCCCCATGTTTGAGCACACCGCAGGGGAACACTTCGTCATCAACACTCACACATTACACAATGCCCATCTTTTGCGTGAAGCGCTTCCTCATGATCTGACAAAACCTGTTTGATATGTGCAAAATCGAAGGGAAACTCATGAGCAACTTGCGACGTCACTTCAATCAACCCAAGGAAGAAAGCAAGAGGACTTGAAGAAGAAGAAGGCCACTATGAGTGCAACTAAGAAGGCAAATGCACAGTTATTGGCGCAGCATCCAGAGGTTGTGGAGGTTGGAAGTGACCAAGAAGGCACAGAAGATGCCATTGGAAGAGAAGATGGAGTGGGGGATGGTATCATGACAGCACAGGTGGCCGCAGCGCCAGGAACAGTCTCTCGCCCTACAAAATGTCACAAGACGTAACCTCCCCAGCCCTACCCTCCATCATTTTGTTTCTGCGCCTTTCCACTCCCACCCCAACCCTTGATCATTTTGTTTCCACATCTCTCCCCTCCCATTCTGTAACGGCGTATGGGTACCCTCACCTCTTGCATGTTAATTCAGGGCAGTTAGTAGGAATCACCCACCAACACTGAGAGGCCCGACAATACAAACAGGCCATAGTTGATGGTGCCTGCTGATGGGCCGATGAGGGCCAATAACCCTGTGTTGATGAATTGGCCGATGTGATCCCACTATCAAGGTAAAGAAGGGTCGGCCAGCTACGTAGATTTAGCATACACCGATCAGTAGGAAGCTGCCCCGGGAAGTCAAGTCCCTGTATTTGTATATCGGCTGATAGCTAAGCTATGCAAGGTCAGCTGACAGTTTTGAACATTGTATTTGTATATCGGCTGATGGAAGATAGTTAAGCTATGCAAGGTCGGCTGACAGTTTTGAACATTGTATTTGTATATCGGCTGATGGAAGATAAGCTATGCAAGGTTGGCTGACAGTTGTGAACGTTGCTGGGTTGGTGATCGGCCGAGGGCCTTCACTTCTGATTAGCAGCTAGGCTATGCAAGGTCGGCAGACATTTTGAATTCGCCTGGGTTGGTGGTCGACCGAGGGCCCTCTCTTATGCCGAGAACGGGTGACTTACAAAGTGCTGAGCTTGGACGCCCGGGTTCAAATTGCAGGCAGGTAAAAGATACTGGCCGCGATCGTCTTCCAACGTTGGCTTGGCTTCGTGGTTACGCTGGGAGGGTACGTCGTGTATGTATGCCCTGGGTTCGAATCCCACAAGTCAGTTACACCTATCGCAACTCTTGTTAAAATTTACTAATCAATGCTGGTTTGACCGATGTTGTCTCGGATCATGAAAATTTGAACTGCAAGTTCTGCCTGGTCTGCCTCTGCTTGGCTGCTAAATTAAAGGCCAAGCTGAAAACGATTCGGCTTGAAAATGCCAGCCTCGGTGATGCATCGGCTGATGAGATGTTCATAAATTCTCGTGTCCGGCCGACTGGGTGATATCCATGAACCATGACTACCATGTGGGTCTCGCCAGCTGACCCTGGTAACCAGAGTTAACAAGTCATAGATTCGCGTTTTGAAAAGTTTTTTACTTACTGCAGGTAAAAGATACTGACCGACCTATGTATGCCGGTTTAAATCCTAAACAAATTTTTTACTTGCTGCTATTAGAATGACATGGTCAGCAGTTAAAAGATACCGACCAACATTGTCTTCCACCGTTGGCTTGGCTTAGTGGTTAAGCTGGAGGTGTACAGAGTGTATGTATGCCTGGGTTCGAATCCCAGAAGTCACTTACAATGATCGCAACTCTTTCGTTTTTGTAACTCTGGCTAAAATTTACTAATCAATTCTTACCGAGCTTGCAGACCCAGGTTAGTTGTCTTACGCTGGGTAAGTTACAAAGTGCCGAGCTTTCAGGCCAGGTGGATCATTGACTTGGCTCAGTGGTCAAGGTGGGAGGTGTACGCATTGTATCTATGTATGCCCTGGGTTCAAATCCCTAACAAGTCATGCTGTTCATCCTAAACAGTTTTTTACTTACTACTATATTAGAGTGACATGGTCGTCAGCTAAAAGATACTGACCAACTTCCTCTTGCAGTGCTGACTTGGCTTAGTGGTTGAGCTGGGAGGTATGCCCTGGGTTCAAATCCCAGAAGTCACATAGAGCGAAGACGGCCTTTTTGTAACGCTGGCTAAAATTTACTAATCCAAGGCTTGTAACATCCAAAGTCCCAAGAACGGGTAGTTGTCTTAGTTGAACTCTTCTTGGTGCCTTTTGTAAATGTCGAGGGAAAGTGAAGTGGGCTCTGCAAATAACGGTGTGAGAAGAAGCATGAAATGAAAACAGTCATGCACCAAAAAGTGTTGCTTGGACAGTGGCATCCTTCCATCCCAGCATCTTGGTACTGGTGTTCTGACCATCTGTATTGCCCTCCAAATCCAAGACATATTGTGAGTCTGTGGTTTGGGAATCCAACAATGCTCCTGCAGCAAACAGCCTTGAACATTAAGTTAGCATTTAGTTGACTGACGTGCAAGGAATTCCATATGCCCGTGTTACTGACAACCTTTTCCTTCCAGACCAATGAGGAATCAGAGTCCTTGAGCCAGCATCAAGGTCCTGAGAGGGTTGATACTTGTCATCAGTGCTCATCGAGGGATAGACACAAGCTCTGAGATTCCAAACTCACCCTTTTCCCTTGTCAGATTGTTCAGCCCCTCCACGGCAGCTGTGATCCTGGCCAGATAATCCTTTACACTTGATCATGAACATGATTCTACAGTCAGTCTCATCAAATCATGGAGAACCCAATCCACTCACATGAAAACTCGAAATTCAGAGCAATAATAGGTGAAGGTCCTGGTACAAAACCAGGAGTGACCCAGGTTGAAGACATTCAAAAGACATTCATACTTGAAATTGGGAGATGTAAGCAAAACACAACCAAACAGATTGCCATCGATACGTGTTTTCCTTTATCCACCCACCTTAAGATGGCCAAGACCAAACCGACGAATTGCTCACCCCCCCAAAACCTATCATGTCCATCTCTGTACTCGACGCGCTTATGAGCCAGTCTTTTGACTCGCCCCCATGTCCCATAACAACTCCTGCCAAAAGCCGAAAACGAATCCATTCGGACGACGGATCTGACAAAGAGGACGAAGCAGAAGACGGCTTTCCCACTCCAGCAAATCGCGAAGGGCAAACATTGTTCATGATGCCCACCCCACTTGCAAATGCAAATATTGTTACCTTTGCACGGCGCTATGGTTTATCAAAGCTTCTCAAGCAAGTGCAAATGCAGGAGCTCCTCAATTTTGTCAAGGTAAGCATTCCTGTTTACTCTCCATTAGTTCCACCACTCTGAATAGTGCTACAGTGCACTCTTGATGAACACTTTGTTATGCTCTATGTTGCAGCAATGCAGGTGCGTGACAGTGAAGACCAATGCGTTCGTGAGTTGGCTGCTTGGGCACCTTCCAATGCAACTGACATAAGTCTCTCGCTTTCGGGGGTCTTGTTTATTAACTGTTTTACAGACAAACTTACAGACATACAGCTGCTACATCATGCTCTCACCCAAGATTAGGGGATACAGGGATGGAGTTGCCCAAAGACTTTTATGGGCACGTACAGGGGTTGAGTTGCTTTTGCCCAATTTAACTGATTTTCCTGTCATGCACACCATCACACGCAACTTATGTTGGGACATTCCCAACACTGTTTACTCAAATCCAGCAGCAACAGCCAAGCTCGACAATCGTATCTGCCATCATTTCACCCAGTTCTGGTCAACCATAAAGAAAAAGGTGCGTACCGGCTTACTTTCCCACCCCACTTCTCATTTCAGCAGCATATGATAGATTGCTGCCAGTCTGGTGGGAGAGACCAAGGAACAGCAGACCCACATCTTTGCTCTTGCATAACATGTTGTGTTGGGCACTTCTATCAATGTCAGCATCCAGCTTTGCACTCATTTGGCCCTTCTTGTGCATCGCCTCCCTGTTCCCTTCACACCTGCACTGACTTTTTGTTAGCGTGCTGAGTATGTTACGAGTTCGGGAAAAGACTTCTACAACAAGGTTGACAAGTGGCTCGCAAAAATTCGCGATACTTATCCCAGTCCGGGCATTGTCACAAGGTTTGTCTTACACAACTTATCATACCTGTCATCGTCATCACTTCAGGTCAGTCCTTAACCACGACATTGAGTCTCATGGACACAATAACCTCCACATTGAAATCCTTGCACCGGCGGACACTCAAACAGATGAAACAGAACGTGTTGTGGAACACACAATTGAGGGTTCCAATGAGGCTGGCGTACCCCTTACAGATGCCGCCCAGTCTGGCCCCTCGACATCTTCAAACCAATCACTACTGAGTGTTTCGAGCACCATGGCAGGTGGGAATGGTGGTGAGGGGGCAGTAGATGATTTTTGACGGTCATCTCCCACTAACAAAACTCAATGGCCTGCACCTATATCCTTGGTGTCTACATGCTGGTCTGACACCTGGCTCAGAGAATCCCCCCAGGTTTGTTACATTCACAAATTCACCTGCCACTGTGCCCAGGTGAAGGGTGTTATGTCCTACAGCTGTCCATCACTCCTGCACAAACAATGGATCTGGCCACATTCTCGGGCCATAGGCCGAATTTTCTGGCTGACACATATACAACAAATTCTGTAGTGCTGCTATTTACACTCTGTCCCTATTTGTCGTCGCACTGCTCCCCAGGTGAATACAAAACTGAGGTGTAGAATTACTACTTCAGGCTTTGTTTGGCATCAGCTTCCACTATATTTGGCTTGCATTACTTCTCGCCCACTCTCTTACTCCCTTACCACCATATACCTCTATTACATGCTCTCATATCTCATACCTCTACTTCTCTTATATCTCCAGAATCATACATGTGGTTAATTTCTGTTGTCTGTTCTGTGAGTAGTGTTATCTATCCTGTGAACACAGGATAGATTTCCACTTTTTTTGAAATTTCACTGCTACTATCGGTTCTGACAAACTCGACACACACATATAGTCACCACCTTTTTGGCCCTTGATTCAGGCCATTATTTGGCGTGTGCACATGCTGTCTTGTATGTTATTGCCACGTCTGTCTTTCGCAATGCATCAACCCTGATTAACCATATCCAAACAGTGGAGGGTATATCGCCTGTACCACTACACTGTCACCATCTGTAACCATCATTGCTGTTTTCTCCGTCTACCGCAACACTGGGATTTCCCTATTTTACCTGCACCTCTGCTTCTGAACAGCACCTACCAATTCTTAACAGTTTGGTTCCAACAACACACACCAGGAACAACCGTCTACAATCGCCACAACTGCAGGTACCATCAGTACCATCTTCCTCTCCTCCTGGACCATCCTCCTCGCCACTTTCTCCCCTAATGCCTTCTGCATCCCCTGAGAAGACTGTGACATGTGGGAGTGAGGAAAGTGCAATCGGATGTGCTGACAAGATGCATGAACACCTAAACAACACACACACACACACACACTAACACCTTAAACACTTATCACCACAGGTACATGCTCAGTGCTTTGAGTTCAGGTTCATATGGTAAATGGAATTACCACACTTGTTTTGTTAGAACTTAAAGTAGAAGTTCGGGGAAATGATTCCATATATTTTATATCACTTGTCTAAGTCTAGTAGAAACAGCTTTTATTGGGACATCTTGGTGTTCTGGGATTGCGTTCTAACTGTATGCAAAGAAATATCAAGGAAACTGTGCTTTATAGACTTTTGTAACTCCCTTGAGCTTTTATTATGCCTCTGATTCAATCCAAACTAGTCTTAAAGACTCTTCAAGCACACTCACTTGGATTCCTTGGTAGTAGTAGAGAGCTCTCTTACTAACTGACGAGACAACCTTACAAAAGCTTAGTGATCCCCACTTAACACACTGGTTCTGGGCACACATTACTTATGTCTGTGAAGAAAAGTCCTTTAAGTTGATTACAAACTTATCCACTACCTCACATGCTACTAGGAGTGCAACAGTTGGTCAACACAGGGACAATTCCTTGCGTTTCAGCCTGCGTGCATCCTCCTTTTATACTATTCTATGTTTTCTATTTATATTTACACATCTGTGTGTGTCCGAGAGGTCAGATGAATTAATACTGATTTTTAGTAAAGGTTTGAAGTCGCTCAGTTGTGTGGGGCACAGCTGAGCTGACTTCTTTTAAGTTTTCATAGTGTTTTCTCTATTGTGGTGACGTGATGCATATGTGGGAATCGCCGTAAACGGTTTTCAGGATTGGTTCAGCTGAGGCGAATGGTCCACTTACTGATTTTCTCTCTATTATTAGATGCTGTGCATGGGTCTCAGACCTCACGGCAAATCGTTCATAGTTTTTTCTTTCTTGGTAGACTTCGGAATATTTCACGAAGTTGAGTTTTCTTGCATCAATGATGCCATGACTCGTGATGTGTTGATGTATCTTGCCACATGACTTCTTGGATCATGCTTTGTAGCATGTGACTGAATGACTCCTTGTGTCAGGTACACATCAAGTTTCTACGCTCACATATTTATCTTTAGAATTAATATCTTTTTATCCATAGTAAGGTGAGACCCTGGTTTGGTGTAAACTCCAACACCCTGTGCGGAGGTGTCTTTACTCTGGAACACACTATAGTGTACTATTTCATGGTAGTGTAGCCTTTTATTAGACTTCGAGTATATTGAAGTGATTTGGTCACGAACCGACCACAATTCCTACTGCCTAAGGCGTGCACATTTCTTGGATGTAGACTTTAATTGACTAGATCAGGCTGTGTCTAATGATCCTTATGATCAAAGTGATTGTATTCTACTATAGAAGGTTTTATAGGAGAATTTGCTAAAATTCGCATTTTTACAGGTGTATTGTTACACTCTGTATCACCCTGCCATCATCTTTCTGTCTTTCATCTGACTCTTCAGAGGACAAACAATGTGCATATATTCAACCAAAAATCGTTTGAAAATGCAGGGCATTCAGTAGCTGCACTATGGAACCATAAAAGTACAACCTGGACAATTGTCCTATGGGTCATAGAGCTACCCAAATGGGCCCAATGCTCTGGATGTCACTATAGGACCATGTGTGGGCCCAGTTCCATAAAGACACTTAAGGGTGAATGTTGGGCCAAAACATCTGGCCAAAGCAGACACTGCCAAATAGCCATTTGGCCCAATTATGGTCTTTTGAGTGGTTTCACTTAGCCTAAGGATAGTAGTTGGGCCCAATGATTGTCAGGATAGGTTATGGACCCAATGTTGGGGCCAATGCAATTTCTGTCACTAATGGCCTAGGTTGGGCCCAATTGTCAAAGCAGTAGCTTATGGAGCCTATGTTGGGCCATTGATTAGGAAACACTATAGTTGTATGATGGGCCCAATGCATTGAATATTTTTCTGGGGATTCTGGGTATTTTTTGGGGAACTTGCGGAGGTTTACTGGAGCTGTGGAGTTGGCAGGACTCCGGAACTACGGGGTTTGGCAGGACCTTGGGTTTGATGACATGTGGCACTTTAGTGGCACTTTGTATGTGGTGGCATTTTAGTGGCACTTTGGATGTAGTGAGACTTCGGCAATACTTTCCATTCCTCCACTGATTCCTACCAGATTCCATGGATTCCGGTCAGAATCCAGGAATTCCGGAGGATTCCAGGAATTCTGAAGGAATCCAACTGGAAGAGGCAGGAATCCAACTGGAATAGGCAGAAAATCTCATTATTTAGGTTATAAATCAGAATAGATCAGCACTGAGCTAGAGACTTAATCTGCACTAATTCAATTCCTCAACAGACAAAATTTCTTATAGAATTCACACCTAGTCAAGTCATAGATCTCAGCAGACAAATTTTAATGTATTTTATTGAGACATAAAATCTATTTTACTACAAATTCACACCTACTCAAGCCATAAGATCTCAATAGAACAAATTTTAATGTATTCTATTGAGACATAAAATCTATTTTACTACAGTAGGGAAGGGGGATGGACAAAGAGAAGTATGAAGAATAGGGAGGCATAGGGAAGGGGGGAGGGGGGATGGAAGGGAGAGGGGAAAGATGGGTACAGAAAGGTACACATAAGGAAGGGATAGAGAAGGGGGAGAGAAAAGGAAGGGGGGATGGACAAGGAAGGGGGAGAGAAAGGGGAGGGAAGATGGACAAGGAAGGGGGAGAGAAAGGGGGGACAGGGAAGGGGGGAAAAGGGAGGGAAGGAAGGCTCGATGATGTGGGCGCACATCATCATCGTGTCGCGTCACCATCGTCGTGTTGCGTTGTCATCGTTGTGTCATGTTGCCATTGTGTCGCGTTGTCATGGTGTCGTATTTTCGTCATCCGACGACGTGGGCACTTGACGACGTAGGCACGCATCATCATCGTGTCGCATTGCCATCATCATGTCATGTTGCCGTCATGTTGTGGTGTCGTGTTCTCGTCGTTGTGTCCCATTGTTGTGGTGTCGCATTTTTGGTAGTCATTAGCAGGGTAGGATGGTATGGAGAAGGGGGGGGGGACTTACTTTGAATGATGATGAATGACGATGTCGTTCGTCGTCTGGATGCCACGTCGCTGAAGTGACATGGCGTTCTTGCTTGATCCATCATGGTGGTCGTGGTTGCTGGTTGACGAGTGTTGTGGGTGGTGGTGACCATGGGTGATCGTGGTGATGTGGCAATGGGTGGGCATCTTGGACGACAGTGGTGGTTGAGAGAGAGAGTGGTTTGTTTGTTGATGATGCCCAAATCAAGTGTCAGCAAATGCCGACACTTGATTTGGGTGTCATGAATTCCATTCCAGCTTGTTCCATGACCATTCCTTCCAGATGATTACTGGAACCATTCTGGCAGAATTTAAATTATTCAAAATTCCGCAGAATTGTTTGATCAATTTGGCAGGGCCCTCTGCCAAATTTGATTCCTCTGGAATTCCAGGAATTGCCCGGATTCCGCCGGATTCCAGCAGGAATCAGTGGAGGACAATAAAGACCTCGACTTTGGATGTAGCAGCACTTCAGATATAGTGAGATTTCGGACATAGCAGCACTTCAGATGCAGCGGCACTTCAGATATAGCGATAGTGTGGCAGGAATTAGGTCGCCCAAATTTGCAGGGTGGCACCAGGAAGTCCAAACTTGGGGTGCAATGTAGGGCAAATTTGCAGGGTCATGGAGAGAAAGTGTAGACTGCTCCATTTCGTCTTCTATTGGTCTTCTACTTGAAAGACACTTGCCCTTCAGTCTCCTGGAACATTAGAACGATCACCACCTTGACTCGCAATATTACAGATTGTTGTTCAATATCATGTAGTCACATTTAGATTGAATTTCAAATAGCTGTCTTACTCGAAAAACATCCTGCCCTGCCACCGCCTCGTGATAATGAGCTCAGGCAAGTACCTCCAACTCAAGCAGTATTTGAAGGCCCTTCCAGACAAACTCCCCATCTCACCTCCAGAGTCGAGACTCAACCGCTTGCTGAACTTCATGCTTGATCAAGATTGGGTAATTGATGCAGGAGAAGAAGTGGCCATTAATCAAGAACTGGAGGCTGCCTTGCATGACTTTCTCCCCAGAAATGATAATGGTATCTTTTACATCAAGGAACAAGGGCCAGGCATTGAAGCGCTGGCGGACGTACTTGACTATTGGCTGCCAAAACATCCTGGATCAGTGATCTTGGAGTTATGGTTGAAAAGTGCGATCAAGTCTGCAAAGAAGTGCATATTGACTCATGGCAGGGAGGTAAGAGCTTGATCTCATCGATTCCGTCAATCAATTGACAATCTGAATGTGTTGGCTGTGATCCTAGCTTCCAGAGTTTGATCCTGAGCCTCAGAACATTCAACATGCTCCAAAAGGAAAGGCTACTGTGAAATCAGCAAGTTCCAAGCAGTCGACATTGAATGTGACTCACCAAACAACCCTGTTCAACTTAACGGCCCCCAGCTGGCAACCCAAATCAAGTGCAACATCGACAAAGAAGCTTGACATGAAAGCCCTTGCAGATACCATCAACCCCGATTATGTAGATGGTGCTGAGCCAGACGATCATCGGGAGGGTGGATGCAAAATGTTGCCGTTGTTGCAGAAGATCTCATGACCATGCCATCCAGTGGCAGACAAGAGCAAGAAGCTGGCATGTTGTCTCGCAAGCAAGGGTTGTCACACCACCTGGGGGTGGCCTGGTGATAGGACTCGTATCTTGAAGCATGCAGTGGCTTGCAGTTATCTGGCAAAAATGGAAGGCAGAGACTTGGTTTGGCAAGCAATTCAGGAGCTCACCAGGAAAGAACCTGGCCTGGTGAATAAGTTAATGAAGAACATGGGCGTCGCGCCAGCAGGGCAGTTAGTAGGAATCACCCACCAACACTGAGAGCCCCGAACATACAAACAGGCCATACTTGATGGTGCCTGCTGATGGGCCGATAAGAGACAATAACCTGGTGTTGATGAATTGGCCAATGCAGTCCCATGAATAAGGTAATGAAGGGTTGGCTGGCAATGTAGATTTAGCACAGCCAGATCAGCAGGAATTATACCTGGAGAGCGAAGGACAACTATTTGTATATCGGCTGATGGAAGATAGCTATGCAGGATCAGTTGACAGATTTGAATGTTCCTGGGTTGGTGATCGGCCGAGGGTCTTAAATTCTGATTAGCAGAGTCAGCTGGTGGGACCCAGATTATTGTAGTCATGGCTCGGCTGATCAGTCCAGCAAATGGATACCGCTACTGGGTTGGCCACGAAAACTGACAATTTATAAACATGGGATCAGCCGATGTTTGAGCCAGTCCGGCCTTTTCAATATGGACTAGTATATGTTTTCTGCTCGGCTTGCATTTTATGCAGCCGAGCAGGGTTATTTGAGCCAGACACAGGCTTCCATGCCCGGTGGAAATGTCCAACATGTGATATGTTTACAGGAAAAGTGACTTGCCCGGATGATTTAATATTAAATTGTTGAAGAACTTTAGCTCATGCTGTGTCCAGATGCAAAATAACCAAGCAGACAAGTGAATTAAATCAGTAAAGACGGCCAGGCTGCACATTGGGTGGTGCAGGTGATTAAAGTAATTTTTTGAAGTCATCCAGCTGTTGCTGTGTTCGAGTAAATGATTGCTGAGCAAACAGGTGAATTAAATGCCTGAACTGCACATTGATTAACAGAGCCAATTTCATTTTAAATTGTTGAAGTACTTTGGCTGCTGCCGAGGCTGGGTGGCAAATAACTAAGCAGAGAAGTGAATCAAATCGGCAAAAGTGCCTGGGCTGCATCTCGGATAATAGAGCCGATTTACTATTAAATTGTTGAAGTACTTTGGCTGGTGCCGAGGCCGGGTGAAAAATGACCGAGCAGACAAGTGAATTAAATCAGTAACAATGCCCGGGCTGCATCTCGCATAATAGAACCTGTTTAATATTAAATTGTTGAAGTACTTTGGCTGGGTGGAAAACAACCGAGCAGACAAGTGAATTAAATTGGCAAAAGTGCCCAGGCTGTGTTTCAGGTAATAGAGCCGATTCAATATTGAATTGGTGAAGTACTTTGGCTGGTGCCGAGGCTGGGTGAAAAATGACCGAGCAGACAAGTGAATTAAATCGGTAACAAGTGCCCGGGCTGCATCTCGGGTAATAGAGCCGATTTAATATTAAATTGTTGAAGTGCTTTAATGGTGCCGAGGCCAAGTGGAAAATAACCGAGCAGACAAGTGAATTAAATCGGTAAAAGTGCCCAGGCTGCATCTTGGATAATAGAGCCAATTTAATATTAAATTGGTGAAGTGCTTTGGCTGGTGCCGAGGCCGGGTGGAAAATAACCGAGCAGACAAGTGAATTAAATCGGCAAAAGTGCCTGGGCTGCATCTCGGATAATAGAGCCGATTTACTATTAAATTGTTGAAGTACTTTGGCTGGTGCCGAGGCCGGGTGAAAAATGACCGAGCAGACAAGTGAATTAAATCAGTAACAATGCCCGGGCTGCATCTCGCATAATAGAACCTGTTTAATATTAAATTGTTGAAGTACTTTGGCTGGGTGGAAAACAACCGAGCAGACAAGTGAATTAAATTGGCAAAAGTGCCCAGGCTGTGTTTCAGGTAATAGAGCCGATTCAATATTGAATTGGTGAAGTACTTTGGCTGGTGCCGAGGCTGGGTGAAAAATAACCGAGCAGACAAGTGAATTAAATCGGTAACAATGCCCGGGCTGCATCTCGGATAACAGAACCTGTTTAGTATTAAATTGTTGAAGTGCTTTGGCTGGATGGAAAACAACTGAGCAGACAAGTGAATTAAATCGATAAAAGGGCCTGGGCTGCACATCAGATAATAGAGCCAATTTAATATTGAATTGTTGAGGTACCTTGGCTGGTGCCAAGGCCAGGTGGAAAATAACCAAGCAGACAAGTGAATTAAATTGGTCAACGTGCCTGGGCTGCACATCGGGTGACGGATATTAAATTGTCATACTTTGGCTGGTCCAAGGCCGGGTAAAAAATAACATAGCAGAGAAGTGAATTGAATCAGGCATGAGTTTCATCTCAGATAATAGAGTCAATCTAACATTAAATTGTTGAAGTACCTTAGCTGGTGCCATGTCTGGGTGTGAAGTCACCAGTCAAAATGCCCAGGCTGCTGCTTGTGATTAGATATCAAATTGCTATGCCATGTCTGGATGCAAAATAACCAAGAAAATCAGTGACTTGAATCAGTAAAAATAACTGAGCTGCATCTGGGGTGATACAGCCAATTTAATATTGATTTGTTGCAGTCCTTTACCTGGTGCCATGGCTGGGTGCAAAATGACTAAGCAGGCAAGTGAATTAAATTGGTAGAAATGCCTGGGTTGCACATTGGATAATAGAACCGATTTGATATTCAATTGGTGAAGTCCTTCACCTAAGCCATGTCTGGCTGCAAAGTTGCAAGTGAGTGGATTCTCCCGCCATCACACCATCCCACCATCCCGCCATCCCGCCATCCCGCCATCCCACCATCCCGCCATCCCGCCATCCTACCATCCTGCCATCCTGCCATCCTGCCATCCCATCATCCCATCATCCTTCCATCCTTCCATCCCGCCATCCTGCCCTCCTGTCATCAGCATTATATCTTGACCATTACTGGGCCACTTCTCTCCAAAAACCCTGCTAATATATCTTGATGTAGTCTATGACATACTCAAAACAAGAACCTATAGTAGTGTCGTTGACATGCATCTCCCTCAATGTTCCCCATGGTATGTATACCTTTACTGTAGCCTCCCCAAAGCGGAAAGAATACAGTGTATATTATATATGCTTAATTTGTGGTAGCTCAGAATAGCCATTTGGGGTTCTGAGTATCTGTATTGCACAAAATGCCCAGAAGACATATAAATCCCATGGGAGTTCCAGAGGAATATGTTCAATTATTATTTGCAAGACATGAAGATATAAGGTTCTAATTGGAGAACTTACCTGGTAAATGGTGCATGGAGAGGAGGGAGGAATACATTGTATCCATTTGTTACATCACCACAGTTTCACCAATGAGAGTCAAAAGTGGGTTGGAGGTAGGGATGGGATAGCTAGAAAGAAGTTTAAAAGGAATTACAGAGATTGACAAGACAAGATAATGATTTCAGAAGATTATATATGAAGCAGGACAATGGTACATGGATAGTCACTAACATCCCAGCCATATCTCTGTATCCACCAAAACAGATATTTAAAACATCCTGCCTTTCTTACCTGATCAATACTCTTTGAACAACCTACCAGCTACCCCAGCCTTAAGTGAACCTCACACCATATATAATAAACACCACCAAGATATGATTAGGAACTTTTTTGGAGAGAAATAGTCCAGTAACAGTGGAAATACTATACTCATGACTGGTGGGCGGAATGGGGGTGGGATTACACCTATTGGAGAAACTAGTGCCTGATTTAGTAATTGTTGGTCAACAATGATGGCGTTGAGAGGGGGCACCAGGCGGATGGTGTGAAAGTTATAACTAACTTGTCTATTCGGCATTGGTGTATGAATGGCTCCGAGCTCGGGGAACAACCCTCATGAGTTGTGTTATCTTGTCTGCTTGGTAATATCACACCCAGACTGAAATGATACAGATGCAACCCAGGCATGTTCAGTGATATACTTCACTTGTAGGCTCAGCAGTGGTCCACTTGAACCATCTGTAGACAGCATAACAATTTGATATTTAATCATCAGCAGCAGCCCAGGTGTTTTTACCAATTTAATTCACTTGTCTGCTTGGTCATATTCCACCTGGCCTTGGCACCAGCCAAAGTACTTCAATGATTTAATAGTACATCGGCTCTATTATCCAGGATGCAGGCTGGTCACTTTTACCGATTTAATTCACTTGTCTGCTCGGTTATTTTCCACTTGGCCTCAGCACCAGTTAAAGTACTTCACCAATTTAATATTAAATCAGCTCTATTACCTGAGACGTAGCCTGGGCACTTTTACCGATTTAATTCACTTGTCTGCTCGGTCATTTTTCACCTGGCCTCGGCAGCAGCCAAAGTACTTCACCAATTTAATATTAAATCAGCTCTATTATCCAAGATGCAGCCCAGGCACTTTTACTGATTTGATTCACTTGTCTGCTCGGTTATTTTCCACTCGGCCTCGGCACCAGTTAAAGTACTTCACCAATTTAATATTAAATCGGCTCTACTACCCGAGACGTAGCCTGGGCACTTTTACCGATTTAATTCACTTGTCTGCTCGGTCATTTTTCACCTGGCCTTGGCACCAGCCAAAGTACTTCAACAATTTAATAGTAAATCGGCTCTATTATCCGAGACACAGCCCAGGCACTTTTGCTGATTTAATTCACTTGTCTGCTCGGTTATTTTCCACTTGGCCTTGGCACCAGCCAAAGTACTTCACCAATTTAATATTAGATCGGCTCTATTATCTGAGACATAGCCCGGGCACTTTTACTGATTTAATTCGCTTGTCTGCTCGGTTGTTTTCCACCCAGCCAAAGTACTTCAACAATTTAATATCACCCGATGTGCAGCCCAAGCATCTTTACCGATTTCATTCACTTGTCTGCTTGATTATTTTGCATCTGGACATGGCACCAGCCAAGGTACTTCAACAGTTTAGGATTCAAATGCCTGCATCACCCGATCTGCACCTTTACTGATGTAATTCATGTCTGCTTGGTGTAATTTCACCCGGACATGGTGCCAGGTCACACATCTTTTCCCTGAAAAATGCACTGGCTCAGACACAATGATTTAATATGTAATCGGCTCAATCACTCAAGGTGAAACCCGGGTATTTGTACTATTTCCCACTTGTCGGCTCCATTATTTTGCATTTGAACATGTTTGTTTGGCTGTTTCCATGCAT